GAGCCTTCTTTTTTCTCAGTATATCTCAAAAGACTTCCATTTAATTTGTTCACCTTGTACTGTTTTATCTTTCAGCTTATAATGTTTATGCAGAAGGAAAATGCAGCAATGGTTGTCAAAAAAAGACATTACTTTCGTCTGCAGATGGCAGCAAAGACAGCCCGAAAACCGAGCTGTTCACTTGCCCCTTCTAAACCACTGGAGGAAACAACGTTCCCAGATCAGCCCTCTAATGTATATGCAATGCAGGACATACAAACTGAACTCAGATCAGCGCTCCAGTGTATATGCATACTCCCTACTTGGACTCTGCTCGAACAGACTGAACTCAGATCAGCACATTCACTTGATCCGAGCTTCAGGAAGCTGTTAGATTTCCTCCTGCAAGAAAACCAGCGACATGGACCGGCTCTGACTAGCACTTATTTTCGCCACCTCACCGGCCGGGTTGACGTTTGAAGAAGAGTGAGACTGGAGGAGCAAAGCGGAGCTTCGTGCCCCGCATGATAGAATAATCCGTGTTAAAACAGAGACCTGATGAACAGTCGAGCTCGCGCTGTGCTGTGGCTCCGCGGCAAAGTATCTCGTCAGTCAGGCAGTTGACTGGATGAACAAATCGCGTTTTTTAAAGGTTTTTGTTATGGCTGAGATAACTCCGGAATGCTAACGTATTAGTTTACAGAGAAAAGACAATCCGCTGGCTGACTTGAAACTGCGGCAAGCACGTTGGAAACGCCGCGTTATTCAGCGTAATGGTGACCTGTCGTTATAATCTCCCATTGAGAGACACGAGCCCGGCGAGTATATTTACACGTTGTTTTTAAACAGTCGTTTCATTTTTGTAAACCTGAAAGGCGTTTATTTTGCGGATGTTGTCAAACTTTATCAGCAAACAGCTAGCGAGCTAGCGAGTTCCGCCGGTTGATTTGCCGCGCTAAAACCGCACAGTTTACATAAAACCGAAGACAAAATAGTCTTGCCTGAAAAGTGACGGGCTGTCATGGCAACTCAGGTTGTAACTTGAGGTCGAGAGAGCTACACAGAAGCCACAGTGTCGAACCTGCACTCACCATTGATTCTGTCTTTGTGTTTGTGGACCGAAGTTGAGGAGAGGTTTGCTCACCATGTATCAGAGCAAGGCTTGCTTCACCATCTAAATTCATTGACTACCGGATTCTGACACCGATATATTACTATTGTAGAGTATTACTCAACCTCCATTCATCAGAATGAAGAGAACAGAGAGCAAAAACAAAAGGAAACTCTGCACCTCTGAGCAGCGGGAGAGCAGCACTGAAGGAAAAGACGAGGTGAGTGATCTTTCACTGGAAAGTTGATCCGTTTTAACACTGATACTTTGCATGGTTATTTTAATATGCATGGTAAACATGCCACAATAGAATGCAGACCTTAGATACTGGTGCATGTGACGCAGCTGCCCTGCAGAACGAGCGCAGTGCGTGGATGCAATCCATCCGTGATGGATCTGTGCTTATAGATCAAGCACGTTATGACATTGAAACTTTTCTGGAGAAGAACCCTTATCAAGTGATAATGTGAAGACAGAAGAGTCCAGAGCAAGAGGGTAAAGTGTTTTTTTCTTGTGTGTGCTTAGTTACATAGTGCTCAGTTGATTGATGATGAGTACTTCCTATCTTTATTTTGTTTAAATTATCTAAGACTGGTTTGTTTATTTACATTATTTTCCAGACTGGACTGGAATATTATTAAAAATCAATACACACCTCAGGACATCAGAGTTGTGTGTGTTTTTGTGTTGTATTAGCTTTGTTGGGACTTGCTCAAGTTTATTACCCACATTGTGTTTGTTTTGCAAGAGTTTTATTGGCTCCTTGTTTTTGACAATGTGAGTCTTGTGTTATCATTTATCAGATGGGGGCAGAGGCATTGGGAGGAAATTAACAGAGAGCGCTGCTACTTGTAAACAAGGACAAGTGTTTCCTAATTTGGGGCACGAGTGCAAAAAAAATGGTTGAAAATTTTATTTATTTGAATGTGTTTTCTCCATTTTGCAGATCTAATAATTAAGTTAAATTATAGTAGTTAATTTGGTAGATGCTTTTATCCAGAGTGTTTGTGTAATATAATGTGTAATAATATAATGTGAGTGATTCATCCTAGTGAGGCTGTAAAATGAGATGTGATGCAATGCATTGTTCCAAGATTGTTCCGATAAGTACAGACTAGGCTAAAGTGAGAAATAGTGTCTCTAACCCTCTTAACACTTGCACTCTCTATTCTAACTGCTTTTTCTTAAAAAAAGGGCCTCTAACACTAGCCTTATCTATTCTTTTTCTATTCTATCTACTTCTTTTTTTGTTACGTGTATAAATATAAGTGTGTGTGTATTAGGCTAACCCAGACTTGTCATAGCACTTGCATATTATTGCTCTTTTGTTGGTTTT